TTCTTTGGTGTGAGGGTGGTGAGAGCCTGGCCCAGGTTGCCCAGAGAAGCTGTGACTGCCCCATCCCTGGAGGGGTTCAAGGCCAGGTTGGAGGGGGCTTGGAGCAACCAGGTCTGGTGGGAGGTGTCCCTGTCCATGGCAGGGGGATGGAACTGGATGATCTTTAAGGTTCCTTCCAACCCAAACCATTCTATTTTTTGGGAGCCCATTTGTTTGGTTTTCTTTATCATGTGCTATGCCAGTAGAAAACGTTTGCTATTAAAAACCAAGGACAAGACACCAAAGGTGACAGAAGTAAGCTCTGTTGGTGTGTTACGGATCTGTCTTGAATGGGGCCAGCAGAGAAAGACTGGTAGAGGCCTTGGGAGGACCATAGTTCAGAGCAGCTCCTGGAAGGCACTGGAGACTTTTAGAGCGAGTAAATATCTTATAGCAGCTATTTCTTCTAGAAAATTGTATGGATGACTGGGGTACTTGTAGACCGTTCCCATTACACAGGTGACGAGGGATGGCCTGGAGCAGGAATTCTGTTGTTGGGTTGTGTTACCCTTCAGTTCAAACTTGGGGAAAAAATTAGATTAAAGTGAACTGTGTGGACGCGTGAGTGGGAGGACTTGGTGTCTGGGCATCCTCCCGAGGCTCCACAGACTGGCACTGGCAAGAAGGGCTCGTTCTAGATGGTGATGAAAAGCACTGAGAAAAGAACAGAAAGAAACATTTGCTTTTCTTTCAAGCTTCTTTTGCACACCGCAAGCAAGTGGAAATGAAGAGTAGTCCTAAAATTTTGTATTTTTTAATTTGTTTTTTTTTTGCTGATCAGGGTTGATGGTGACAGCCTCGTGCTTTTTTGGCTCACTGGCATATTTATCCATGTCCTGTCCGTCCTTCACAGGATCCTTTTCATAAGGATATTCTCCTTTGTGGCTGTATTATTTATAATTTGTATTTTAGGAGCAGCCTCAGCTCGACATCTTGGTCTGCCATAAACGTGGCCCTCGCATCCAAGACCTTCAGCCTGTATTTTGTACCTACTAAGCATCCCTTACAAAGTAGTGATTAATTAGTCCCGACAGTGCCCCAGACAGACAATTTGTAGTGTCTCCTTAATAGCAACGAGAGAGAGGGAGAGGAGTAGCAGAGCCAGGGAAGAGAACTACAGCTTCTGCTTGTTTCTGTTAAGCCTCACTGTCAGTCAACAGGAATACCCAGGATAGTTAATCCTTTTTTTTTTTTTTTTTTTTTTTTTTTTGGTTTGAAATTAGGTTGACACAGTTACAGGTGGGGCTGAAAAGTGTCGGTCCCTGCAGCGAGGAGCTCGCTGTCAGCGCCGCAGCTCCCTCAGCGAGATGCACTGAGATGATTCCTCTCCTCCTTTGCTTGCAGGGAGTTAGACTCTGCCATGCTGCGGCGGTTGGAGAAGAGGATTTTGGTGGACCTCCCCAGTAAAGAGGCCCGGAGGGCCATGATCCAGCACTGGCTGCCCCCTCTGAGCAACAGCAGAGGAGTGGAGCTGAGAACAGATCTGGACTACGGCTTGCTGGGCCAGGTGAGACAGCAGAGTGAGGGGATGATGCCTGCTTGGTGCTTTAGGTCTTCCTGAGTGGGAATGGTCAGCAAGAGTGACAGTTCAAGGCCAGGGAACTGCTGGAGAGAGTCCAGCGGAGGCTACAGAGATGATCAAGGGATGGAGCATCTCTCTGCTGAGGAAAGGCTGAGGGACCTGGGGCTGTTCAGCCTGGAGAAGAGAAGACTGAGAGGGGACCTCATCAATGCTGAGCAATATCTAAAGGGTGGGTGGCAAGAGGATGGGGCCAGACTCTTCTCAGTGGTGCCCGGTGACAGGACAAGAGGCAATGGGCACAAACTGCAACGCAGGAAATTCCATCTGAACGTGAGGAAACACACTTTTCCTTTGAGGGTGGCAGAGCCCTGGAAGAGGCTGCCCAGAGAGTGGTGGAGTCTCCTTCTCTGGAGACATTCAAACCCCTCCTGGATATATTCCTGTGCAACCTGCTCTGGGTGGACCTGCTGTGGCAGGGGGTTGGACTAGATGATCTCCAGAGGTCCCTTCCAACCTCTACCATTCCATGATTCCGTGATGTATCACCCACAGCGGTAGCATTATGTCATGGCAGAAGAGGTCCAGACAGTTGGGACATCACCTCTGTGTGAAACCATGATGAGATACAGAGCTGGAGGTAGGACCTCAGCTCGGTTTGAGTCTCCAGCCAAGGGCAAACCAGCGAGACACGGGGCTGAGCGTTCCACCCGGCTGTGGAAAGTGCTGGTTTCACACAGCTCTGCTAGCAAACTGGTGTGTTCTCATCCTCTCTGCTGGGCCAGCTTTGCAGCCTTAAATACAGGGAGACTTCCAGCAACAGGATATTTTATCGTTCTTCTCACCAAGCTGGGAGCGCTTCCAATTCATCGGGGTAATGAGCAGTTAATTGTGTGGGGAAGGTTTGTCACAGCTCCACTGCTGCGGGAGAAAAGAGCATTTAGACAGCAAAGAGATTCACTGGAAAACCAGGCTTTCTTCATTCAGCCCTTTGTCACACCCTGAATTCTTGGAAAAATAGCTTAAAAATAATTATTTCTAAATCTCTTGTATTCATAAAGGGCCCTTTTTACATGTGTTCACATAGAGGATGGTACTCAGTTTTTGTTTCGTAAATGTTAATAAGGGAATATAGTTATTTATTAACAGGAAAGCTGGGAAGAGACACAGAAAAGTGGGGTTTACTTCATCTATGGGAAATTGCCCTTTAGAAAGAAAATGCCCAGTATTTTCCTTGCTCTTACTGTGGGAAATCAAAACAAGAACAAGCATCATAATGGGTAAACATAAAAATATTATGTGTGTTTGTGTGTATATATGTATTTTAGATAGGAATAGTCTTTATACATATTTTATATAAATCTATATGCTTGTAAACACCATTCCTGTGCAATTTGTAAGCCTGTGAGCTGTAATGTACCCTTCTGATCCCAGGAAACAGAGGGTTACTCTGGCTCAGACATAAAACTCGTGTGCAAGGAAGCAGCCATGAGGCCAGTGAGGAAAATTTTCGACGCTCTTGAAAATCACCAGCCAGGTAACTAACCCCAGCTCCCAGGGGAGAATTCCATCTGGGAAACGCCGATCTCCTGCTCCAACTCTGGGAATTACAGTTTTAGCCCCAGCAGGTGGAGCTCTGTTATCTGCTTAGAAAAGTTTTAAACTGTGTCCTTCTAAAACACACACCTAAACTAACGTTTTAGAAAATCAGGGCTCTTTTTAAAGCTGTATCTGTGCTCTCTGCACAAATATAAATTTTTCTTATCTCCCTAGGCTTACTGTTTTCGTGTATTAAGTGTTGCATTAAGCAGGGACATAGAAGAATGTCTTTTGATAATAATAACAGCATTTAATATTTTTTTTTCTCTTTAGGTAACAGTAACTTCCCCGTGATCCGATTAGAGACGATCACCACAGCAGATTTCCTCGATGTGATTGCCCACACCAAGCCATCAGCAAAGAACCTAAGCCAGAAATACACAGCTTGGCAGAGAGAATTTGAGTCAGTTTAAAGAGAAAAAAACCTGAAAGACTGAAAACTTCCAAGCCTTTTGCCTCCAAAGGATCCAGTGGTGAAGGGGAAGAAAGTGCTGCCATTTCCAGGGAAGAGAACGCAGTGGCAAATGCCAGGGGGAAGTCTTCACTTTCAGGATTTAATTGCAGGGGTGTTTGGTTATGGGTGTTTAATTGGAGGGGTGTTTGGGAATGTTCAAAAAACATTCTTCATGGAAATAACATGATGGCAGTTGCTGTGTAATGAAGGCTCCAGCCTTAATTTTATGGATAAAGACTTAAAAGATAGATTGCTTCTCAGTCTTTATTCAAGTCAGTTCTTACCAGGTTTGGGGTAGAAGAACTGGAGCAGAAAGCTTGTTAAGAACAGTTAGATAATTAGTGTAATTCTCCCTTTCTGAGACTCACCAGAGCATCAGAACCAGCAGAGACCTGCACCCTTTATAATGAAATGCGACCACTTTCAGTGAAATTTGGGACCATAGCAATACGTTGTAGATTTGTTTAGTTTGTCATCATTTTTAGCTAAAAACAAAGCCTTCATGGGCCAAATGCCTTATTTTCCAGTTGGTTTGGCCTATTCCCAAGGCAAGGAATTAGAGGAACTTGGAGACGTAGAAAACCAGCGGATTTAGGCCAATCTAACTCAAAACTGGCTTGGTTACCCGCTGTTCACAAACAGCGAGTCTTTGCAGCTCAGAGGTAAATGCTAGCCAAGCTGGAGACTCTTCTGCTTACACAGAGTCAGGGACTGCCACATCATCTTTTAATTAGAAACTCTAATCAGTCATTTTTTCAGACTGTCGGGTCTCATTGCTTGCCCCTCTCTCGCTTAGCAAGACAGTTACCCTCTTTGTGGTTCTCCCAGTATTTTCCTCACATGGGTTTGTGAGATAGGTACCACGATTTTCCATGACTTCCAGCTCCGGGACAGTCTCTGTTATTCATTCCAGCATCACTCAGTTGTCACAAGTCATTCTGGGAAATGTCTCCATGGGGTTTTTCTTGTAGATCTCTCTCCTCCTGAACCTGACCAAAAACCTCCCTGATGGCACCACCACTTAAGCAGTGCTGGCATCGACATAAGATGTGTGAATTTATTCCAAACCGAGGGCACAAAAACGGTATCTAGAGGCATTTTTTGTTCCTGGGAGGGTTATAATTTCTTGTATTTCTAGTGCAAAGTCTGCTCCATCCACACGTTGTGTCTCGGACAGAGATTAAATCTGAGCCCGCAGACAATCTTTCATCTAAGGAGAGCTTCCCTTTCATTCATCACCATGATTTTTCTTAACAAGAACAAGCAACGGCTCATTAACACAAAACTATATTTTCAATAAGGTTAATACTCCAGCAATGTATAATTACAATCTAATAATTTAACACTCAGGAGCACTGTAAAACAAACTGTAAAGGACTTTGATTATTACAGTTTGCAAATGGACCAGAAAAGCTATTTACTGTCATTACGAAGTTGGTTCGTGTTGGGGGATTTAGCGCGTAGGAAAAGCTCTGCCTACTACAGAATTAAATTTCATTTTACGGCTCTACTAACCAACTGTGGAAAAACTGGAATCTGTCCCCATGGCTCGTGAAGGATTTTTTTCCCATAACATTAAAAAGAAACAAAAAAAACCCACCAACAATAGTAAAATTTTGCAACTGTAGCATTAATAGGACCCCGCTGAAGTCTAATTTCAAAAATTCACAGTCTCTGAGGCATTTAATACCAGATTTTTTTGTTTCTGTACCATTCTTTTTAATAACAGCATCTAATTAAAACATCTGTAAAGTGCTGACAGTTTTAATTTGATGTAAAATCTGAAAAACAAAAAAACCCCAGCATCTGTTCTAATGAGAGGAAAGATATCAAACAGTAGTTATTATTAAACAATGGTGATATTTTAATTTAAAAGTCACTTCTCAATGTGCATTCTCCCTACCTTTAAATTAGAGCAGAGCAGAGGCATGCTCAGTGAAATCACTACAGGCTGACTACGGCTCTGTTAGTCTTTGAGGTTTATATTTGAGTATTTCCAGTGTTTTGTTGTGGTTTTTTTTTTCCAATTTAGCTTATTCAGCAGTTTGTATCCCGTCTGTCTCACCTGCTGAGCATCCGCGGTCCCTCATCGCATCCTCCTGAATCTACTACAGGAAAGGGGCTTCCCAGCTCTGCTGAGTGGGAGGAGCTCACAGCTGGGCTGCTGATGCATGCATTGATCCTGCAACCTTAATTTTTGAAGCCAAAGTAAAGGAAATTATGTGGCACGGACGTTCCTTCAAACTAACTATTCCCTTCCTCACAGCAGATGCTCTAGGATATGTTCCACCGCCGCTGGGAAATTCTCACAGGTTAAGTAAGGAGCAGGATTGATTTTGTCTTCATCTGCTGGTCGATATTTACCTGGAACAGATTAACAAAAAGATGCATTTACCAAGCTGCTTTGGGTATCTTTTTTTCCCCCCTGAAAATCACAGCCTCCTTGGATCAGTAACAACCAGCCACGGTAGGAGGAATGCCCATCTAAGGTTCTTCTGCAACAAACATCTCACCATCTTCCCTAAAGAAACACTGAGCCTGACTGAATCATGGAATGGTCAGAGTTGGAAGGAACCTCTGGAGATCATCTAGTCCAACCCCCTGCGAGAGCAGGGCCACCAGGAGCAGATTGGAGAGGAGCGTGTCCATTTTGAATGTCTACAGAGACTCCACACCCTCTCTGGGCAGCCTCTTCCAGGGCTCTGCCAACCTCACAGGAAAGAAGTTCCTCCTCATGTTGAGATGGAATTTCCCATGTTCCAGTTTGTGCCCGTTGTCCCTTGTCCTGTCACCGGGCACCACTGAGAAGAGTCTGGCCCCATCCTCTTGCCACCCACCCTTTAGATACTGGTCAGCATTGATGAGGTCCCCTCTTAGTCTTGTCTCCAGGCTGAACAGACCCAGGTCTCTCAGCCAAGAGATGCTCCAGTCCTTTGATCATCTTTGTAGTTTCCACTGTCCCCTCTCCAGCAGTTCCCTGTCCTTCTGGAACTGGGGAGCCCAGAACTGGTCCCAGTGCTCCAGCTGGGGCCTCCCCAGGGCAGAGCAGAGGGGCAGGATGACCTCCCTCCACCTGCTGGTCACACTCTTCCTGATGCCCCCCAGGATGCCCTTGGCCTTCTTGGCCACAAGGGCCCATTGCTGGCTCACGGGCCACTTGTCCATGACTGAAGATTCCTCCAGGGGCAGCTTTGGTTCAAAATTAGTGTAACTCATGCACTGGCACTATTCCCTCACTGACTATTCAGATATTCATGTTATAGGTTCTTGAAATATAATGTTATCACCTTCCCTTCTGGGTTTTATGAGTATGATCACTTGCTTTCACTTTCAACACGAGCAGGTGCCACTCAGAAAGACCTTCCCCACTCCACGGTACCATCCATAACCCATCCATAACATGGATAATACCTGTCACTCCCTTCGGGTTCCACTTTTGTCTGAAGGAAAATGACTTTTATGACCAGTGTAATCACTGCAGAATGTCACCAGAGCTCCTGAAGGATCCGTGGCTACGTTGCTAAGACTGATTTCAGTGATCTAAGATGTCACAGAAATGGGGTTCTCTCTGCTCCTTGACCAGTGCTCAGGATTTTAGAGTTGTTAGAGAAAAAAATTCACACCTACAATATCAGCTGTCTCCCAAAATGACTGCTCCACTGCATACTCACCAGTCCTGACCAAGATGCCACGCATGCCTGCGTTCTGGGCGCCACCAACGTCGTCCCTGCAGTCCTGGGACAGAAGAGGAGATGAGCTGGTTAGTGGTCACAGGCACTTATTTCTCAACATGTTTTTCATGAAAACACATTCTCTGCTTTGCATGTCACTAACCACCCACTCAAAAGCAGCTGCAAGGGGTCAAATCTTTTAGCTACCTGTTAGAGAAACCATCACAGGAAAGATTTACTACAGGCTTCTAGTGACTGCATGAAGAGAACCCACCCCACAGACTCCTCGTTAAATCCTGCAAGTTTTCACCCCTCGTTCAATCTGCAGGTGACAAGGTCCCCACGTACGTCACCGATCATGACGGCCTCCTCTGGGGCACAGTCTGTCCCCCGCAGAGCTTCCAGGAAGAAGGTCTTCTCCGGCTTCCCCACCACCGTCGCTTTGGCGTCCGTCGCGTACTCCAGCCCCGTTACAAAAGGTCCAGGTCCCAGAGCCAAGCCATCTTTTTTCTTGTAATACCTGGCTTTGTGTATAGCTATGAGAGGAGCACCATCCAAAATCAACCTAAAGGAAGTACAAAAAATTATATTAAAGAAATGATATTCACAGTTGGAGGCCCGAACTGGCTTTCATTTTAGGTTGATGACAATGACTTTCATGAAGATCCAAATTATAACGCAAGCCCACATTCATCTGAAGAGTTAAACAAAGTTCCTTCCTTTCTTTTCCCCAGGAACAGCTAATACATAAATCCCCCAAATAAAGAATTTCTTATCTTGAGGATTTTAACAGGATTTTTAAGTCCTGCTGTATCTCTGCAATAAGGTCGTTACTCTAAGCTGCCTCACTTTTCACCAAGGCAAACATCCCAACATTAGAACCCAGCTGATGTCACCACACAAATAATTTAAAATACGTTAACCCCAGGCAGGGGCTGTAGGTAGCAGGTTGAGGGGCAGAGCCTTTATCTCCTAGCTTGGACCAAGAACCCAGCAGGACCTTCAGGACTCTGCTGCCAGGAACTCCACAGCCCAGCAGCTCTTGGGGATGTTGGTATCACCTCTAACAGCAAACAGCTACGTGATCCCAGCAGGGATGGGTGTTCAGGATAGTCCCAGGTACAGGATAAATCATCTTACCTTAACTTCATATTTTAACGTCGGAGGAATGACAATAGCAAAGTTAAGAGCACAAAGATATTAGGTGTGTTCATGTCCCACCAAATTCCCCAGTTAACAGCACTATTACTGAGCCTTTTAGAAATTAAACTGGATTTAGAATCATAGAATGACTTGAGTTGGAAAGAACCTTAAAGATCATCCCGTTCCAACCCCCTGCCCTGGGCAGGGACACCTCCCACCAGACCAGGTTGCTCCAAGCCCCCTCCAACCTGGCCTTGAACCCCTCCAGGGATGGGGCAGCCACAGCTTCTCTGGCCAACCTGGGCCACGGTCTCACCACCCTCACACCAAAGAAGTTCTTCCCCAGATCTCATCTCCATCTCCCCTCTTTCAGTGTCAAACCCTTCCCCCTCATCCTATGGCTCCCCTCCCTGATCCAGAGTCCCTCCCCATCTCTCCTGGAGCCCCTTGAGGGACTGGAAGGGGCTCTAAGGTCTCCCCAAAGCCTTCTCTTCTCCAGGCTGAACCCCCCCAACTCTCTCAGCCTGTCCTCACAGCAGAGGAGCTCCAGCCCTCCCAGCATCTTCATGGCCCTCTGCTGGACTCATTCCAACAGGTCCCTGTCCTTCTGCTGTTGGTGGCCCCAGAGCTGGAGGCAGCCCTGCAGGGGGGTCTCCCCAGAGCAGAGCAGAGGGGCAGAATCCCCCCCTGGCCCTGCTGGCCACGCTGCTGGGGATGCAGCCCAGGGTGTGGGGGGCTTTCTGGGCTGCCAGCGCATGTTGCCAGCTCCTGTTGAGCTTCTTATCCACCAACACCCCCAAGTCCTTCTCCTCAGGGCTGCTCTCCAGCTTTCTCTACCCAGCCTGGATTTGTGGTTGTGGTTGCCCTGACCCTGGTGCAGGACCTTGCAATTGGCTTCATTGAACTTCCTAAGGTTCACACTGGGAACTGCTTCCCGCCCAACAGCCCAGATCCTCCAGCCTTCCTGGCACAGACCCTCCTTGGGGTTCCTCCTCTGACAGCTGTCCTTCCTGTTAAAAATCTGCACAGAACATGGCATTGCCTGGAGTGTCCCATCACCTGTTCCTTGGGAGAAGAGACCGACCCCCCCTGGCTACACCCTCCTTGCAGGGAGTTGGAGAGAGCGAGAAGGTCTCCCCTCAGCCTCCTTTTCTCCAGGCTGAACACCCCCAGCTCCCTCAGCCTCTCCTCACCAGACTTGTGCTCCAGACCCCTCACCAGCTCTGTTGCCCTTCTCTGGACACCCTCCAGCACCTCAATGTCTTTCCTGTCATGAGGGGCCCCAAAACCACACAAAATCTTGCTTTGCCCCTTCACCGCCTTTCTGGAGCTCTACTCAAAGAGGCTGCTTTAGGTGAGCTGTGTTCTCCTTGGAGGACGTCTGCTCCTTCCCACCTGCTGGGAACTCTGAGCACTACACAAATGATAATATTTCATTGCACTTAATTATCACAAATCAGTGCTTTCCAAAGCTGGCTGAAGAAGAAGAGAGCTGGCAAGAGCATCTGTGAGCAGCCAGACGTGTTCGCGATGGGAGGATTCCTCTAGGACACAGGAAAATTTAATTTGACAGCAGCACCACAACCCCTTGCATTCAGCAGTTCGTGGGAAAGATCTCACCTGAGAGAATTCTTTCAAGCGTGGCATCAAAATCCCACGTCTACAGAAAGAGAAATTTAGTCTCAGTCATTTTAAATGACGCCTGGAGAACAGCACTACTCTGTGTATCTCATCGTGGGACTTGTGTTGGGTTAGATTTACCTAATCTAATGTTTGATATCAACTGGGTGGTTGCCTACCGGGTAATTAGTCAGACTGGGCTCTTCACAGTCAGTGGAGAGGAAAAAAACACTTCTAGGGCACAGTTCAACTGTCCTATTTTAAGCTCTACTAGGGGAAAAACGAATGATGCCTTGCAAGTGCCTCCTCCCTCCCTCAGGAGCCCGGGTCAGCAGCTCAGACGCTGGCATCGGCACAGCAGATACCTGAGTTTCATCGGATTCACCTGAAAGTTCTGCTGTGAGCAACGCAAATCCCAAGTTTTTCAACTACCTGAGCAGTAAAGAACAAGGAATAAAGGACACAGCACAAAGCTCGAGGAGAAGAAAATGGTGGCAGTGGTTAATATTTCCATTAGACCAAACAAAACTGACACCAGCAGAACAGTCTCCCCTCAGTAGAAGACTGGGGGGAAAATGCAGCAGGAAAAACCCACTGCCCGCTGCAGGGGGCTGCATTTGGCCTTCAGCACCTTCCTTCCATCGCCAGAGCAACTGTTCCGTTCTGCTTTTAATGCAAAAAAGCCCAAATCCAGTCTGGGACAACCTCGGCCAGCTCTGCAGGCTTTCCTCCCTCTGCTGGGCTGGGGCCCTCAGGGACTCTGCCATGACTCTTGTTTCGAGTGCCCCCGTCCCCAGCCCCAGGCAGCTAATGACTGTTACTCGACAGCTAATACATTCATGACAGAAATATCAATAAAATGATGTAAGCACTGGAATTTGTGATTGAGAAATGAAGAGTCCACTCACGAGCGTGCTGTAAAACTCTAAAATCGATGCCACCAGCAACATGCACTAGGGAGGCAGAGGGGGCGTCCGTTTGGGTCAGTACAGGTTCTTATGGCACAGAACTGGCAGGCAAGGTAAGAACAGCACCCGTTTCCTACTCCAAGGAGCCTCCACAAGACCCTGGTGAGCAGTAATCCATACTCCCTCTTTGGATGTCGTCACAAAAGGCACATCACTGGGGATAAACCCAGCAACAGGCTCATGTTCACGTCTTTGAAGCTAAGGGCTTTTTTCAAGTTGAAACCAAGAGCGCTGTGAGGAGAAGGACACGTGGCCACGCACGTCTGCACACACTACTGCACCCGTATGGCTACAGGTACATTTCATCTTATTTACCCCTTCAACAATACACAAGACAAAGAGCTTCAGGAATCACAGAATCATAGAATTGTCCAGGTTGGAAAGGACCTTTCAGATCATCGAGTTCAACACTGACAAAACCACCACTAACCCATGTCCCTCAGCACCACGTCTGCCCGGCTTTTAAATACCTCCAAGGGTGGTGACTCCACCATTGCCCTGGGCAGGCTCTTCCAAGGCTTGATAACCCCTTCCATGTAAATATTGTTCCTAATATCCATCCTAAACCTCCCCTGGTGCAACTTGAGGCCATTTCCTCTTGTCCCATCGCCTGTTCCTTGGGAGAAGAGACCGACCCCCCCCTGGCTACACCCTCCTTTCAGGGAGTTGGAGAGAGTGAGAAGGTCTCCCCTCAGCCTCCTTTTCTCCAGGCTGAACACCCCCAGCTCCCTCAGCCTCTCCTCACCAGACTTGTGCTCCAGACCCCTCACCAGCTCCATCGACCTTCTCTGGGCACGCTCCAGCACCTCAATGTCTTTCCTGTCGTGAGTGGCCCAAACTGGACCCAGCCCTCGAGGTGGGGCCTCCCCAGTGCCCAGTCCAGGGGGATGGCCACTGCCCCAGTCCTGCTGGCTACACCGTTCCTGATAGAGTTCAGGATGCTGGTGGCTTCTTGGCCACCTGGGCACACTGCTGGGTCATGTTCAGCCTGCTCTCAACCAACACCCCCAGGTCCTTTTCCAATAGGCAGCTCCAGCCACTCTGCCCCCAGGCCTGGAGTGTCCATGGGGTTGCACAGACAAGACCAAGTCTGATCCATAGTTCAAGTAGCCCAGGACATTGTGCTGTCCACTCCTGAAGGCAAAATGCTCCAGTAGATATTGCTAGAAAACCTGCATTAGGTACGTAAGGAATAATCTGCCCTAAATACCGGATTTCCTTCTCTATAATATTTGGGGTCCAAAGGCTGAGGTTTGAACATAGAAGCCATCTCCCAAATACTTCCCAACATCCTTGGGTTTGTGTACCTCCTCTTGAAGCACTGCTGACTTTTTCACCTCAACAACAACCAGGACTGTACTTCTGTAGTTAATTTACAGACTGAAAGCCAGGAAAACCAAGGCTGGACTGGCTGAAGTTCATGGATAAGGCCCCATATTCACCAAGGTTGGTGTCTCTCTCTCAGATGTAACAGTGACAGTGCTGCCACCTGCTTTTCCCTGCAAGAGAAGAATTTCCTCGCCTGTGTAGAGGTGCAGAGCCCAGCACAAAGACAGCCACCACTCCAAAAGCCACGAGGAGAAAGCAAGCCACTTACCGAAACGCTCTGTTCATCATCTCATAGTGAAAGTGCTCAGGAGCCAGTCCTACCACCACTGCATTGGGATTGTCAGTGGCCACCCCTGGAAAACCAAAATATGACTCTGAGAGAACTGAATTTCACTCATACTTAGCAGTACCCACTCAGCGAGCACAATAAATCCCTTTGGAGAAAAAAAAAAAAAAAAAAGAGCATTTTCTGAACACAGACACATCACATAGACCAGTTTTATGCCTTTTAGAAATGAGGAAAGTGTTTGTGGAAAAGATGTCGATCCATCCAGAGTCTGACATCCTTCACAACAGACACAGCTCTGCAGCTGGATAGTCCTAACGGCGAGTGTTGAACAGCCATTCTCTCACTGAAATGCAGCAGAATGCACAAATCACTTTTTTAACGCAATAAATTTCTGTTACCTGAGAATCCCTTTCTACATATATTCATCTGCTTTTTAAGACAGTAAAGCAGGAATTAGTGAATTAGCGAATTCCATCCAGTCACAATGAACTAGTGAATTCCATCCAGTTTTTCTATTCCCTCTACTCAAAGAAAACTCCCCTTAGGCTATAAAGCCTGACCATTGTTCTACAGATCACAGAATCACAGAATGATGTGGGGTTGGAAGGGACCTCTGGAGATCATCTAGTCCAACTCCCTGCCACAGCAGGGTCACCCAGAGCAGAGTGGACATGAACACCTCCAGGCAGGTTTGGAATGTCTCCAGAGAAGGAGACTCCACACCCTCTCTGGGCAGCCTCTGCCAGGGCCCTGACAACCTCAAAGGAGAGAAGTTCCTCCTGACGTTGAGAATGTTCCAGTTTGTGCCCCTTGTCCTGTCACTGGGCACCACTGAGAAGAGCCTGGCCCCATCCTCTTGCCACCCACCCTTTAGCTATTACTTAGTATTGATGAGGTCCCCTCTCAGTCTTTTCTCCAGGCTGAACAGCCCCAGTGTCTCAGTCTTGCTATCAGCCTGGTTGTGATGGCAAAGATGATATCACAGCATGACCTGGCAGGTGTTACACTAGATTAGTTTGGGCTCTTCTGGAAGGTCTATCTTTCAATGCGGATTAGTCCCCTTGAGACCAGCTTGGGCCTGCTTTGTCCTGCACTGCTCCAGAGGACCATGACCGTTTCCACATGGCGGTGCCACCTCTGAACAGGACCAGCAACAGAAGTGGAGTAGCATCCACAGGAGAAACGGGAGTAACAGAGAGTTTTATTTATAAGAGACTATCAGCTGCATCCTGCATTTGCTGGGGTTTTTGTTCTACCTTCACACTTTTATTGGGACAACTAGAGCTCCTGGGTCTCCAGAGAGGGTCACTGCAGCCCACTGGCTGATGTCTCCTGCCGCACGTCCTTCAGTTAGCTCAGACAGCACAATGTACACTCAGAGATGCCACGTGGAATTTGTGACACCTCCAAAAAGCATCTGGGACCTTTAACCAAGAAACGATTACGTTCATCTGTCTGTGACCAACTTTATGGAGAAATCAGCAAAGAATACTTCAACAGCAGCCATTAAAAAGAATTTAAAGCATTCTCCATTGTACTTAAATGTTTCAAGAGCAGCACTGAGAGAATATGAGCCAAACCACTCGTAGCAAAAAGGAACTCAACAATCCATTCCAGACCCAAGCAATCCAGGCAATGCCACCAATGTACTCTGCTGATCTCTCTCCCTGTGCCACCTTTTACAAAATTAACATCAGCTACTGTAAAACTGATGGAAAGATCCCAGACATGTGAAGACTAAACTGATTTAAATACCTTCAGTGAAATAGCTGCTGCCTCTGCTGTTTCTGACCCAAGAAAGCCTCCCCGAGAACACAACTACAGAACATTGGTGGGGGTGTTCTTCTGAGGATGCGATGTTAGGTAGAGCAGATCATCAGGTTTGATTGCTCTCAGAGCCCACAGAGGCTGTTCTCCTGGGCGCTTATTTTTTTTTCAGAAGATTACTGACTAGACTATGGCACTAAAATTTAACGGGAAATTTCCAGCTCCCAGCAAGATCAGAACCAACTTAAATTACGCAGCCGTAAGGATTTCAGTTCGTAAGGCAAGGGGCAGGGAGCCGTGGGGAGCCGTCCACATTGTTTGATGCCTTGACTTTAAATGAAAGACTGAATATAGAAGACATGGTTTTCAACTTGTGAGTATTTTAAAAACACAGATATCTCGACTACTCTTAAAACAACAACGTGGTCAAGTCAAAAACTAACTGTCCCTGCTCAGGCACCTGCCTGACATGTCCAAGTTCAAATTTTCCATCTTCTACTCCCCTTACAGACGGAGGAAAATGGGAACATCTGAAAAAAAAAGCAAGTTTCAACCAGGTCTTTAGAGTTGTCAATCCAGAGAAGTTAGGGAGATGAACCTCCTGTCGCACATTAAGGTATAAAAGTACATGGGCTGAGATGTTCAATACATCAACACAATAAGTGACAATAATTACCTGGAGAGACCTAGATGTTCAATATAAAGTAAGTGACAATAACTACGTGGAGATTTTACACCTTAATAACAATCTATTAAGAGAGAAACAGTCTCCTGCGTGTGCCTGCACACTGGCTTTTCAGCTCTTTACAAGTGAAACCTCTGCACCATAGCTGACAGAAACCTGATTTCCAACAAATTGACACATCCTTGCTATAAAACAAACCAGCACTGGTACGTGTGATAAATGTCCGGTGATTACTTTTTCATACACCGGAATTCAATAAAATATTGTGTTTTACCCAAATTCCTGATCATTTGAAGGCTTTGGCCACCATTTCCACTACTCCTCAAGAAGCTGGGACCTTTATGACTGTGGAGAGTTCCACATTTCAGGCTTCACCATGGCTGGTGACACATACGACTGCCATTCTACAGAACAGAGAGCACCACGTTTCCTTAGTTGCTCGGTAGCTTCCACCTCACCTGTGAAATCAGGCAGGGCCTTATCGTCCACCAGGAGGAGGGGCCGCACCTGCTTTTGCTCCAGGAGGTTCCTGGCTGCTGTCAGCGAGGTGAAGATCTCGTTTTCTGCGATGTCGAAGCCCAGCTTCGTCAGCCTCTCCAGCAGCTCCCTCTTGCACTCCTTCGTCGTGTTGGTCACAAACCGAATGGTAACGGGAGCGCGGCGCAGCCTGATGGATGAAGAGCAAAAGCAAATTGGCCACAGTGTCCCTCTGTCTACACACTCCCGCCTCTCTCTGGGACTGAACAAGGACCGTTTGCATCCTGAACCAAAACAGAAGAACCTTATTGCTAAATTAATACATTGAACGCCACGTGCTGAGAGAATTTCACAGCAGCTGTGGCTCGTCCAGAGCTCAAGGAGCCTGTGTCACCTCTGTGGTGATTTTATGTCAGCTTCTGTAGCCACTTCTCCCTTTCCTGAGGAGCACCAATACCACGTGAAACCCCGTTATTGCCCTACACTGACAGTGCATGCTACCAAACAACCAAATAATTTTAAGTGACAATTTCAACGCCATTCCCTTTAATTATTCCCCCACCATCACTTTCTCTCTTTGTTGCTATAGAAACAAACACTGGCATCACGACTGCACGGAGAACATCAGAATAAAGTTGGTCAACGCTGGAGACTTGCTTGCACCTGCCACTTCTTTCTCTTATTTTTCAGATACATTGACCCTTCACAAGGATGAGCTGGTAAAAGAGTCCCCTGGTTGCTAATAAATTAATTATGTTTTTTTTCTGTGGACCTCAATACTGAGAAGTAACACTAAAAATTGAATCCCTCCTGAAAATAAATATCCCTTCTCTAACTCCCTCCCTTGTCAAAGCCAGTACAGGGCCTGCAAGGGCACTGCTCAGGAGGAATCAAGCAGAAGACAAAGGAGGATCAATGGCTTTAGAGAACAGTTTGCCTTCTGATTCTACAGAAGACATTTCTTCTGTCCAGTCTATGGCCTGAAGGCTTGGAGGCGAGAAACACATGGGACTGATACCAAGCTCTTCTTGACCATATCACCACTTCTTTATATATATGGATTTTTGAGAACGCTGGCTCTCACCTGGCACAAGTGCTACCTGCAGCACAGAACACCAAGCAGGCAAGGTCCAGTGAGTAAAAAGGTAACGAATGAATGCCCAACACTTGAGCAATCTTCACTTCCTTGCAATTTTACATCTTCAGGAGACAATTATTTCCACAGAATTATTTGTGAGAAGAAGTGCAGTTTCCTAATCTCTCTGTGAACCTTTCCTTTGAGCAACAGTCTACCTTTATAAAAATCTGAGCACCCACTACAACTCCAGTAAAAACTTCTCCTTCTCTTCCTTAATTCAACCCTAGTCCTCTCCCCTGATTAATTCTTACTGTCCCAGCATCTTAAGGTGCCCTCCCTCACTCACCCTGGCAGCATATATCACTTTGTGTTTTTCTCCATCCATTGCAAGATGTCTTCTCCAGGAAAACAGTGTGACAATACAGCACAAAGATCCCTGGGGTCACATATCCTCAGATTAAGTCATTTGACTATGCCTTGATTTCTTTAGGCGCCCTTTCATCAGAAGAGAAAGAAGTACTTAACTGTCCTGTTTATTAATGTGTTGAAATTCCCACAAAGGATAGGCTGTATTATCAAGTGTTTCTCAATCCCAAAAATGACCAAGGTCATTTACCTAGCAGAAATAAAATTTTAAAATAATAAAACTTGGCTGATAGACCAAACGAAATGAGAATTCTGCCAAGGATGCCTTGCTCTCTAGGCCAAGTTTTTCTCTCTGCTATTCCACTAATAACAAAGGGCTCAGACAATCAGGTTCTTGTAGTTCAACAAAGCACTGAGTGAGGAACAGCTCAGCTGAAGTGACCATGGTGTAGATGGGGTAGTTGAGGTTAATTTAACTACTTTCCACTTTGGCTAAGGCTGTAGTCCCATATGAATTAGCGGAAACACTCTGAATATTGTCTTTTTCCATCTAGAAGAGACCTAGAGAGCAACTTAGGAAAGCTGCAGAGGCTCAGGTGATACATGGCAACTTTTCCATATCTAGGCCCTTTGCTGACTTCTCTTGGTATTAATACGAATGTAAATAAAAGCAGAATTTGGCTGCACATTTCCTTATAAACGACAGCAAAAAAAAGGCAGATGCTGTTACCACGGCTTTACTTAAAGAAGGGTCTTTGTGCAAACAGGGTTGATATAACCTATCAGAGGATATTGGGGAAAAAAAAGGTATCTTGCCTTTTAAGAGCTTCCTGCGCGCCTGGCACAGCTGAGTCTTCAACATGAAGTGTGCCGTTGAGATCCACCAAGACAGCTTTCAGCGCACGCCGAGCTGCCATCCTTCCTTCCCCAGGGAAAAGGCAAATAAATGAAACAACAAAAAAACTGGTTAGCAGACAATGGATAATAAAAATAAGGAACTCAGTTAAGCGCCTCATTTGTGCCAAGCCCGGTATTACTCAGAACATTACTCGCAGTATTAAATGGGCCCCTTTAGACAGAGAAATAAAAGGCAGCGTTTAAAAAAAATACATAATTGATGGGGTGGTATTTTCTCAAAGACTCTATATATGGAAATCAGGTGCTATTTGTTTTTAAGTGCCTTTATTTGTGCGCGTCAAAAAATTCTCTAAACAACTAAGAGGGTTGGGAAGAGGATCATTAGGTCTGGTATTGCTGGTTCAAGGCCTCAGCAAGCACATTTCGGCAAGTCCCATCGACACCAACAGCGCCGTTCAAGTGAAAAATAAATACAATACTACTGAGCGATGGTACAGCGCTCCGACCATAAAGCTCAAAACGCTCTGCAGAAGTGGATATTGTTAATTTTATTTCTTGTAAGCGAGATCTACGGTGATCCAGCCCGCAATTCAGGGGCCCTAACTCCCAGTGGCTGACTGCCTGTGTGCCAGCGTGGATTTAACCTGGGAGATCTCAGGGATGTTCAGTTTCCCCAAAGGGTTACTCCCGCCTCTTGCAAAGGGGACAGTCAAGCAGCCTTTCTACAGCGAGCTTCTGTGTCTCACAAGCAGGTACAGGGCACTCAGCCCAAAACAGAAGCCAGCGTTCAAGAGCTAAAGGCACCAGGGAAGAAAACAGCGAGGTTACGTGCAAATTGTCTAAAAAGCTGTCTTTGGAAATTAGTACTACTCCTTACGTGTGCTGCAAGTGCTGTTATTTTGCTCCACAAGCAAGTTTGCTGAGCTGTTTCTTAGCAAGTCTCCAACACGGGAGCTTCTCTCCTGTTTGTTAGACAGTAAGGGCCATCTGATCTGCCACCACCAGCAAGTCATCATGATTTTATGTGGAGCCCTTTTGGTTACAGACAGCACACATAACATGTATGTACTTTTAAAAAGCACGCAGAGTAGTCGACAGAATGATCAGAACCTGCCTTAAAAAAATTAAGTTTCTATCAGGACAGTTTTGTCAATGATCAGTGTCATGTGAGTTCAATGTCTCAGGTACAGGACACTGGGGCAGAAATCTTTGAGAGTCCACTTCCGTTATTCCTGCTGCTTCCCTGCAATAAATATGCTTATTTTATAGTATGCCTGTTGCTACACAGGCCAAACTTAAATGCCTATGATACAAAGCTGACAACAGGACTCCTAAGGGAGCTTCATCAATTGCACAGGAAAAGAGGGCACCAGGTTTCTAAGGCATCTTCTCTGAGTAAAACACTGAGTGCACAAAAAGTGCTTGAACAGAATGGAATTTGCATAACTCCATGACAAAAAAAAAAAATCCAAACCCTCTCTTCCCTCAGGCACTTCAGCACAGGGAATTCTGAGTGCTGAGACGTTAAAAAGAGGACTGAAGAAAGTGCTATTTATATAAATTCTCTAGGTAAAGACACATGACTGCAGAGCAATGGCACCACGCCTGCATGGGTAGCACGGCTAAGGGCAGGGATAGAATATCCTAGGTTAGCAGAAATGGGATTTTTATTATTATCATTATTATTATTCCTCTTCTATCCTAGATCTCCACTGATTCTCCTGTTTGCAGTGAATTTATTTGGCCAGCCCAGCAGTTATTTACAGAACCAGCTTTCAGCATGGCCCAATTTTGACTAGAAAGGACATGGCCTAGCAAGAAATCCTAAAAAAAAAGCTCCAGTACCTCAGTTTTCACAACGGCAGCCCAACACATCCAGAGGAACTTCACCTTCACGCAGGCGTTACAGTTACAGCGATGGGATAAAGCCATAGATGATAATTTAGGCTGGTCAAGGCATGAGGGACCATCTGGTCCCACCCCGCCTGGCCCTTGGCGGACCGAGGTGCCGTACAGGGCTGCATCAAGGGGCTCACAGCCGACGGGGAAAGGAGGCCTCGCCCCCCTGGGGGCCTGTCCCTCGGGTAACGGCACAGGCCGAGAGGCAGAGCTCCACCGGGGAGGCCCAGCACACGGCAGCCCAGCCGCCCCGGCCTCCGCTGAGGGGAGCGGGGGCTGCAGGGCCGCCCGGGACAGCCCGCCCGGCCTCCCCTGCGGGGCTGCCATTGACGGCTCCCCGAGGGGCAGCGAGCGCCTCCCCTCTCACCCGGGGCCGGTGCCCTGCCTCACTCACACGGCCGGCCGCCATCCCCTCCCTGCCTCTCGCCATGATGGGAAGGGCATGAGGAGACATGCACCACTCCATCCCCCCCCCCCCCCCCACCCC